GTGGAGGTGTACAATTAGGTACTATCAGGCGGAAGACTAGGCAAAGGAATGTCTCAAGGGGTGATCTCTCTGATGATAAAAAAGGGGGACAAAGCTAACGTACGCAATTACCGACCAATTTCCATACGAAACGTGGATTATAAGTTGTTAGCCAAATCAATGGCAATCAGACTAGGGAAAATCCTACCTAGAGTGATTGACAGGAATCAGGGGGCCTTTGTACAAGGTCAATCAATTTTTGTAAATATTTTGACGGCCAGTGCAGAAAAAAGAACTGGATGCAACCATTCTACTATTAGACCTCGAGAAAGCGTACGACCGGGTGGGTTGGTCGTTTGTCTTGACCACCCTGCGGAAGTTGGACTTCGGTTCGGAGTTTTGTAGATGGGTAATTGCAATGTACACAATGTCCACCTCATCGGTGCTTGTGAATGGGCATCTCTCTCAGACCTTCAGTTTGACTCGGTCGCTGAGACAAGGGTGCCCCTGGCCCCCTTGCTCTTCGTGTTGCAGCTTGAGATCCCCTTGAACCGGATCCGCAATCACCCGGACATCAAGGGACTAGCCCTTCCGGGGGACAAGGAGTGTCAGGTCAAAGCCTTAGCAGATGATTTGTTCCTGGTGTCGGAGAACTCTCAACATTCATTATTGGCAATTAAGTTCGTTCTCTTGGATTATTCCCAATTATCAGAAGCTCTGGTTAATTGGAATAAATCTACCTACCTTTTGCTGGAGGGTTCAGCCCTACAGGTCGAATGGGGGATGCAACGTGTTGATTTGGACTCGGGGGAAAGATGCCTAGGAGTCATGGTTAGTCTGCGAGCGATGGGGGAAGTTCAGGGGCTACTGCTACAGCAACGCATTGTAGCCACACTGCGCGTTTGGGGTTCAGCCTGGCATCTCTCCCTCTTCGGGAGAGCCATCGTTGTTAATGCTGCACTGTTCGCCTTGTTGTGGTTTGTGGGTGCAGTTAGAGAGTTGGCGGCAACTGTACTGACAGAAATTCGAAGGTTGGCAAGCAGATTCATTTGGAAGCCTAGAGCTGGAGTTGAGGGGGGCTTCATGGCCAAAGTGGCCTGGGACCTCATTACAGTCCCGAAGGATGAAGGCGGCCTGGGTTTGATTGACCCTCAACGGAAAAACAAGGCACAACTGCGTAATTGGGTTGCCAAAGTTGCGATGGCCGACAACAAAGATGATTGGATCCTATTGGCCGAGCTTATCTTGATGCGAGAATGGCAACTCTCGCACCCGGAAGACGTGTGGCTGTGCTTCTTCACAAGGTCTTTCCTCAACCAAAGGCTCAAGTCTGAGTTTTGGGACTCAGTCCGGAAAGCGTAGACGGATCACCCGCCGGATATAAGGACCCCCCATCAGACAAAGGAGGAGGTGCTGGGACAACCCATCTTTGAGAACCTGTTCGTTACTGATCCGGAGGGAGAGGAATTTTCAGCAGGAAGAGAACCGGCCACATTCGGGCGAGCTTGGATCCAAAGAGGAGTTTCCCGAGTTGCAGACCTTTGGTCCACCTTACACGGCACATGGAAGACGGCTACGGACCTCCGGTCTCAGCTGCACAACCTATGGAGGGTGGAAGAACACAGGGCTTCTTTGCTCCAAGCTATTCCACGAGAATGGTGTGAGTTATTAGGCCCGGAAGGAATAGACCCCGTCGGCACCTGGTATGCACCTAACGATGGTAGTAGGGGGAGGGTCTGGAAGGTGCAGGCTTTGACAGAAAGTGGACTTAGGGAGGTGTAGTCTTGGTCAGTAAGAGAGGATCACCATGATGGCAGCTTGGCACTGCAGGGACAAGAAGTGGTACAGGTTTGGGACAACCCCCATAAATGAGAGTCATTGAGAGGAAAGCCCCCTCAGAATGTACGCCCACATCCATCTGGGTGGGCAGGGCTCCTCTGAGAAACCTATCAATTAATCCAAGGGCTTTTGTGTGGTCAGGATCTCAGAACTCCAAACCCATGGACCTGTCTTCCTTCTCGGTGAACGACTCCTATAAGAGGACACAACAGCGAACCAGGTCGCCGACCTCAGTGGCCATTAAAAGGTGGAGTGCAGTCCTGCTGGAGGACCTTCAGGATGTGCACCCTTCAACTACTGCCAAATGTAAAACATGCCGGAATTCTGTGGATGTTGTCCTTTCTTGTCACCCCTTCGGCGGTGTGGCTGCACAGCCGAGGTATGGAGGTGACCCTGGGTTGCACTCGGTGCACCTGGCCGTTCGAGTCCACGAGGCCTTTGTGGTGGGACTGCCCTGCCTCTAAGAGGGTGTGGAAATGGTGGGCTCAACATTGGCAACAGTTGGGGGGCCAGGGAGTAGAGTGGGATGAACGGTGGGTCTTATTGGGTTTTGTTCCAGGAGACGGTTCTGCGAAGAGAGGGTGGGCTTACGTATCTCAGGTGGTCAGAGGGGTGATCTGCTCTGTCATTTGGTCGGACAGGAACCGCTCCCGCTTCAACCGACGCCCCTTCTCAGATGCGGAACTGAAAACGAGTATCGAAAGAGGTATAAGACAAGCTATTTTGGTGGACTGGAGGAGTAAAGTGAAAAGCGGCAGGGGCTCTCGCCGGTCCAAGTGGTGGTTTTTAAAAACTTGGGCCCAGGATAACAAACTGGTCGGCTTTCACAGAACGAGAGGCTTAGTCCTTTCTAGCTGGTTGAGAAGCTAGTAATCCCCACTTGAACGTTAGGTAGCAAAGTTACTCTTCTCTATTTTTGTTCCTTCCCTTTTGCATACCGGGGCACTCGGTTACTTAGGAGGCACTGTAGCCTGTCTATCAGAGTGTCACCTCACAAAAGGAGTCGCTCCTCAAAGACGTTTAGTCTTTGCCGGCCGGTGCAGGCGCGTATCTTGTTAGCCCAGAGACCATACCATTAGGAGTAGTCTAGTTTTAGGGTCAGAAAGAGTGGTAGCTCGGCAATTTGGGTAGAACAGAGCTTAGGCTAGAATAAGGGACATAGAGCTATCGACGGAGCTCCTTGGCTGCTATAGCCAATTTAGAGAAGTATTCGTCAGATAAATGGTGAATTGTGAATGTTCCGAGGATGAAACTACTGGAAGCGAAACTGGGTCATGCTCCCAGGATAACACCGGGTTGTTGTGAGGTCCCGGCCTCGAATTAGATTTGAATATATGGTTATGTAGCCTTTCGAAACAAAAAAAAAAAAAAAAAAAAAAAAAGAGGCACTTGGCATTATTATTTATTTATTTATTTAGGTTTTTTACAGAAGCAACAGTGCATTACTTGGCACTTGATGTATACTGACGGAATGTAGTCTCCGTACATCGAAATTCTGTGCAGGGCCATCCGAGTTTGCCTTTTCGATGTGGCTTTCCATCGTGGTCGTGTGGCACCCTCGTCCGTATCCAGCTTCTTTTCCACTTCTTTTTCCAGTGAACTCTTGGAAAAGCCGAAATGCCTTTGTGCACACCTCTTGAGGTGCCCGCAAATTGCGTACCCCCCGGCGAGGCAGGCTGGAGATTTTGCATACAGATTTCTGTCATTTGCTACCAGGCCCTCACAGTGTGACCCCGAACTATCACAGAATCTGTGATTTTTGTGATATTTGCTACAAGTGTGAGTATGCCCTTAGTCATTCGTTTGCTGTGGCCGAGAGGACACTGTGTAGGATGGTTTGTTGGAAGTGTTTGTCGAATTTTCGTCCCTTTTTTTTTTTTTTTTAACAGGACTGTATTTATTCCGTTTGTCGAATTTTCGTTAGAGCAGAACGAGAAGCGGTTACGGACCCAAGAGCCTAGCTCAGTGGGTACACCCATAGACTGTTGAAATACAAAAAAACCCTGTTCGAATCCAGATGATGGAACTTGATGAGTAAAACCAACTACTAATGAATTGCCTGGGGCCGGTCAGCTCAATGATAATATCTCAAGGCCGTCGCCTTTCACAAAAAAATAAAAATAAATAAAAATAAATAAAAATAAATAAAAATAAATAAAAATAAATAAAAATAAAAACCGGTTATGGATTCTGGGATTAAAAGTAAAAGAATTATTTTTCTCATGTTGGATGGCCTTCACACAAAAAAGGAAACACAGAAAGGAAAAAAACATCAAAATTCTTTTTTTTTTTCTTTTTTTAAATGTGGTCCGATGGACCACGGATCAGATATTAAACTGATCAGAACAGATACTACACTTGATCTTAGCCAAAAGGCCGAGAAAGGTATTACATCAAAATTCTTGCTGCCGCGCGATCAATGGTCGTGCAGTGTCACACTCGTGCTCATCTTGCACAGTTATACCTTACACGCCTGTTAGTGGAACCGTGCCCCTGAGGCGTGGTCCCACTAGCAAAGAGGGTCGAATAGAATGCCCGAATCTGGACGTAACTGTGGAGAGGTGCAAGAAATCTAGATCGAACTGCTTTTCTGCACCTCTGCATAAAACACATCCAGATTCATGAGCTTGATCCTATCGTCTTTGCTGGTGGAACCGTGCCCCTGGAGCGTCAAGGTCAGTGGCGGCTCGCGCCTACCTCTCGGTCCTCAACTGAAAACGGAACCCCTCTGGTGAGTGGGACTGGATCTCGCGCACGGACATCTAAGCCTCAGCGACTGCGCTGTCTCGGAGTGCATTCCAATCCAAGCTTGCAGTAGTAGTTGTGTGAGGAGGCCCTTACTTACCACGGTCGTCGGAGGTGGGAGGCAGTAGTGCTGGTTGAAGGCACAGGGCTTAGCTCCATTGAACAGAGTTCGAAACGCATATGGACAGCGACGTTGTCCAGATCCGTTTGAGAATTTTGATCCGTTGGAGTGTATATGGTTCAGGATGAAGTCCGGATGCGTATAGAAAGTTGAGGAGTGGAGAGTGAGGCCCACACATTCGTATTGAACGATGCGTGAGAGTGTAGTGTATAAAAGTGAACAGCCCCCTCTCAACTAGGGCATAGATTGAATTGCGCCTCCTCGTTGATTGCGCAGTGATATCACGGCGGAAGTAACTTGAGGAGCAACCTAGAAGGGGAGTCGAGAGCGGAGGCCGGCGGAAGACCGAGTTTAAGCGACCACGAGGGCGTCCAAGTTCAGGTCCGGAGCGATGGCACGATTGACGTTTCCGATGGCCGCGCTGGCTGCTGTGCTTCTGATCGCTGCTGCATCCTCCACCAGCGCGTTTTGCCCGCCCAAGGTGACCATAGACTCCGTCACATACGGCGGCACCGGATGCAACTGGGAAAACACGAACTACGTGCTTTCGCCGGACTACTCCACCGTCACGTTCATCTTCGGCGGCATGGTTGCCACAACCGACGGAGGGCTCGCCAACACGAGGAAGTTCTGCCAGCTCTCCTTCGGGCTGAAGTATCCTAAGGGCTGGATTTTCACGCTGGGGAAGGCGACCGGCCGCGGGTTCGCAGCCATCGGCAAGAACTCGTTGGGAGTCTACGAGTCGAGCTACTACTTCTCCGGACAAACGGGCACGTGCACCATCAGCCGCAAATTCTACGGMCCGCAGAGCAAGAGCTTCGAGGCCACGGACAATTTCCTGACGGTGGTGTGGAGCCAGTGCAACGGCGTTCCCAACCTGAACATCAAGACGGTGGTCAGGGTGCAAGGCGGCAAGGCCGCAATGTTCCTCGACTCCCACGACACCAAGTTCCGTCTGGCCTTCGGCATCCTCTGGAAGAAGTGCTAAGCAGCGAACCACATCCATCGTTCAGGGTGACGTCCTCCTGCAGCAGGGCGAGAGGCAAGGACATTCGTCTTCAAAGCATCGTCTACTGTGAASTGTCCGATGGGACTACCGAGGAACGGGTTAATGCGGCGGAGGGCACGTTGCACCAGCGTTCGGGGAAGGCGATCTCTGCAATAACGAGTGCCTTAGTACTGTCAAGGGGCGATAGGCAGGGCCTTCCACCCTTTTAGTAGTTGTAGATGGAGCAGGCTAGGCAAGTATAGACCAAGCAGGGCACACGGCCATCTCAGTAGCTCAGTTTATGGTGTTATGTGCTGTTCGTCACTCTTCGCTGTCATACGCTTGGTCTGGCTGCTTAATATATTTGCGGACTCGTAGAGCAATCCAATTGTCTCGGGTTTGTGCCCTCTCTCTCTCTCTCTCAATACCCCCCCGCACACACACACACACACACACACACACACACACTGTGGTGACGAATATCTCTTAAGGATGCCCGTTGGATAGTGCGGAGGAGGTGTGTTTCGTCCTTTTATCATGTCACGTTTTGTTGCGTTTTTTTTTTTTTTTTTTGAAAGCTCTTCTCTCCTCATCGGGGAACAGCCATATACCCTTGCAAGCATAGCTTTCCACCTTGTTTCGGCGGTTTGTTTTGGTATTTTCGTCGTTTCGTTGTTTTTTTTTGAAAGAAACAAATATAAATTGGCCTTGCCCCCACAATTGGAATGCATGTGGACAGTCTTTTGTCCGAATGAAGGGGAGCACCATACGACTCACGCAGTGTGGATAAGGCAAAACATATGCAGGGTGTATTTCTCTTTGTTTTTGCGGCAGATTCATGGCCTTGCTCCACTATCTCAAAATGTAAGAATGAATCTTCTCCTAGAAGTTGGAAAGATACACGGGCATATTTTTTGTCTTTTGTTCATGTCGAGTGTCGTGGACCGAGGCCCACGCTCTATCTTGCACATCCGTGCGTGGTGTGGCGGTGCGCATATTCCGACTGTTGACGTTTGGTGAGTGGTGTCCCCCCCCCCCCCCC